GGTTTTTTTTTTTTTTGGTAAGACCCAATTAGCTAGATGGAACCCAATAATGGGCATACCAATGGTCAATTAACTATTCTACCATCATTGCTTATGGTTATTGTCAAAATATTTTGACAGAAAAAGTGTTGGCCCTTTTTTTCTATAATCCAAAAATAGGGAAAAAAAAATCTAGCATCATTATTAACAAATAGGGGCCATCACATAATTAGTTCTAAATTAAGCACTGATGAGTATGAAATACTTTTGAAAAAGTTAAATTTGACTTACAATCTTAAAACCAAAAAAAAAAAAATCTTAGCATCATTGGTAACAAGACTGCCATATAAATTTGGTGCCAATTGTAAGCACAAATTTTGTTGCCTAAAATAAAAGACAAGAAAATTCGCACAAATATCAAATTGATTAAATCAAATAATAAGCGGGTTACAATCTCTGAAAGTTCTTGAATCAAAGAAATTAATCCCCTGATTCTTTTCTTCGAATAGCTTCAATTGAAGGGCCGAAAAGACTTGTTCTCCAATCGAAAGGGTATTTTCTACAATTTTGGCGTAGAAAACAATTGATTTGATGATGCCGTCAAACACTTGGAACTTCAAGTCTTCAACACCGATAGCCAGAGGATTTGTTTGACTTGATTTGGACTTGGATTTGAGGAAGAAAGCTCTTGAGATAATTTGACAGAGTTTCTCCGAAAGTTAGGGATTTTTCTTATGTCTTTGCCTTGAGGGAAGACCTCTATTTATAGCCAAAATATGTAGGCTAGGTCTTCAAGAAAACCCTCAGAATCTTCCTGCATTTTGGATCACTTGTTACCCAAGAAATCCATTTAACTTTGGCTTAAATATTGGGCCAACCCAAATAGTCCACTGTGAATTAATAAATCAATTAATTCACTCCAACTTAAACGGACATTATGGATTTAATTTGATTTAATAGCCCATATAATATTGGCCCGATTTGCCAGTCCAAAACATGATGGACTTCTATAATTTAATTTAATTTAATCAAGATCGATTTAGTTTAAATAAATCTTGACTAAAATAAATTAAATAAATTTTCTTTGTCTACACCAATTTAGGCATAAATTCTATTGGCAGCATATGTCAAAAACAAAGATGATATATGCAGCTCTAACCGCAATATATGTACTTTTCTAATAGTTGGGATATATTTATTTTCTTTTTCACTGTAAATATTTGCTTGCACACCTTAAAATAAAAATAGTTTTGTAGCTTGATAAAGCCAAAAAAAAAATATTATTTTTATTGACTAAATTGAAATTTTGGCAGCAATAATTTGAAAGTATTTTTATTATTGCTTGTCTTTGTTTCGCAACCTTTTATTTCAATACGAAATTTGTAGTAAATTAACAAGCAGGACTATAGAAGGGCATTTCTGGCGTGAGGACGATTTAAGTTTTATTTTCCCAAATTTTACCATTCAAGTCCTCCTCTTGGTGGCTGTGTGGACAAAGTTGGTTTGATCTTCGACAAGTCCAGGCGGGTTCTCAGCGGCCTATCACTTAGTTGGCAATCCAGGGACCTATATTTGGTGTTTAGTGATGCGCGGAGCTGGTTTTCACGAGCCGTCAAAAAACTTAAAAAAATGTTCTTGCTGCCAGCTTTGCGGATTGACAGTCTACATCATATTTTCCACTTGGGAGAGGTTGCTCGGATGGTTTACCACTGGGGGCCTTTTGTTTCTTGTTATCTTCATATTATTTTACTTAAGTAAACTATGGAAAGAAAGGTAAAAAATGGGTAATATATCTGGAAACTTTAGAAGCTTGAAGTTTGGATTACTATTTAAGATGGTGGGCAAATAAATTCTTATAAGGGATGCTTAATATCTTCAATTTTCATGTGTTCAGCTGGAAAATTCTATGTTGGAATCAATTATAGAAGGGGCGCCTTAAAAGTTTTCAAAATTCTAAAAGCCTCAATAGTATAATTACTCCTTTCGTCCCAAAATTTTGGTCGAGTTTTAGGCATCCAACATTTATCAATAATAGCGTTTTGATTGTGATGTTTGAACATTTTTTTCCAATCTTATCCCTCAAAATCAAATTTTGAATTTGAATGTAACATGCTCTTGATTAAAAAGCAGGGACAATATTGAAAAAGAAATACCAAAAGGAGCATTAACTTTTTAAATAAGACAAACATTTTGGGACATCCCAAAATAGAAAGTATGACAAAAATTTGGAACGAAGGGAGTAGTTGGTATTAAATAAAATTGAATCAATTGTCCCCCTAAATATGATTATTAGTATTTAATTTATTTATTTTCCTCAATTTCTTTTTAGAAGTGTCCCATACCAAATTAACCTGTCGTTTCCTCATAAAAGTATATTGTTAGTGTATAATTTACTGGAGAATTAGTATTACTTTTAAATAGCAATTAAAGAAACATTAATTTTTTTCTTTTAAGCAAGTGTCTCATAACAAGCCAATTCTTAGTTTCCTCGGTTACTATAACTTAAAATTAGTAAGTAAGCTAATACTATGCTATGTGCATAGGAAATCAAAGGCAAACAAAAGAATATTTAACTATTCTAAAAATTAAAGAAGTTTCGAATATAGTTTTGAATGCCTAGCATTGATAGTAAATAGAATGATACAGAGTCTAATTTTCACATTTTGCTCTATACTTTAGCCTTAGTTATGAAAAACAACGTATTCTTAGTTATAGTCTATTGGACTTTTATTTTACCCTTAGGATGCTTTATTTAATATATTATATTTTTTGCTATTATATCTTTGATGGTTTGCTACAGTAAACTAAAGTCCTGGATCCGTCCCTGATTGGGATAATATTTCATTGTTAACCAGGCAAGCTCCTGTCCCATAGATGATTTTAGCAATTTAGTCTTGCTGATGGCTTTATGCGATCTAATTGCTATGGTTTTTTTTCCGAGCCCTATACAGGAGTCCAAAGAACGGTCAATTCCTTTTGACAAGAGAATCACATTTAAAGTATACTATATTTATGAAATGGTAGGAGTTGTCAGGTGAGTTCGTGTCTGGATTTCTAAGAATTGTTACCTTAACATGTATGGAGTTTTAGGTGCATTCAAGCTTCTTATTGAGTTGGCATTGACAAGGATAATGATGGTATTAACGTGAGCAGTTTTGACTAAAGTGTTTACATTCTGCTAAAATTATAACTGATTACTATTATAACCTGTTTTACAATTTTCTTTTAGACATAAATAATCAACACTACCTATTATGACCATTTACTGCTTTAGCATCTATCTAGATTTATTTGCCTCGAATTGGTATCGTTTCTGGTCTAAAAATGTGCATTACTTGGACATGAAAGGCACTTTGGCAGAAAGTAGACAAAAGCTGACTCGTATAGGCCCCGGGGTAGTGACCGAAAGTCTCCACCAACACAAGAAGACAACTGAAAGTGTCTCGCATGTTGCACCAAGAACAGAAGGAAGAGTCTCGCCGACAATATTTTTCACTATTCTCAGATAATCAGAAAGTTGCAAACCTTGAACTAAGTTTATTATTCAAGATACCAATCTGATCTCCGAGTCAGTAGAAGATACTATAATGGAGATACCTTCCAGTAGTAGCACTAGTTGCTTTCATTCCGCTCTAGATTATCTAGGCTGGTTGTATGAGACCCCAAGACATTATTATTCGCCGCATAATAATATCTCGGACCTGAAGGGCGAGGTGAGACTGCTACAAACCTTTGATCTGTATCTCACAAAGTGTAGGAGGAGGAGGAGGAACCGTGAAACCTGTTTGGAACAAAATGAGGAGGAGAAGGATGTTACTTCTTTCAGAATTCAAGAACTGATTATCAGGAAAATGGTAGATCTTGAATCTGCTCGCATCGAAGGCGAGAGGTATCCTGGTCCAGTACGTTTGATATGGGTCGGAAGGGAGCTCACCATATTTAGGGAAGCAATCAAGTTGTTTTTCGAGACAGATATCAAGGAATCGTGGATTGACTTTTTGTTGGACTATTACTGGCTGAGAGATCCAGGACCAGTGATTGATTTCATTGATTCGGTTTCAGAGAATCTGGAGGATCTTCTCTCCGGAAGGCACAAATTTCGTAAAGCGTTGATTGTTCTGGTGAAAGCCCTTAAAGAGAAGCTAATGTTCTTGAAGTGTTTCATTGGCTTTTCCAAGCTTCACGGTGTCGAGGGTCAGCAATTGATAGATCTCTTGATTCACGCTGAAGTGGTAGCTTTCAATGCATTACGCCTGATTTATATATGCTGGTTTCACGGAGATGATGAAAAGCTATGCGAGGAAATGGAACTTCAAATTTCTCGACTGATACGTGAGAAGATTTATCCCAGTAGTCCCCAAGTCCGACAAACTTATTTCCATGTCCTGACTGCTTCAAAGTTATCAAGTTCCTCAAACACTTCAACTCTAGAGAAGAATAAGCATCTAGTGGCTGACTTCATGGATTGTCTCGTTCACATTATCACGGAGCTAGTAGAATCTTGTACCAGTATTCTGGTTCCGATTATGAAACGAATGCTAAAACTCCTTGAGGGGTTAAGATTCCTGACAATCCTTCTCAGGCATCAGCAGAAGTTCAAAGAGCTACGCCATGAAATGAAGACTCTTATTGCAGTTGTGGTCCGTGATGCAGCAATCGTAATTTTCTCCCTTTCTGTGAATCAGTTAATCAAAGAAGGCTTGGCCAACGAAACAGATCTTGCTCTTCTTCATTTGCTCAAAGTGCTCAAGCTTATTAGGGCAGAAGTTACACAGGTCTATCCACTAACATCAGTTTCGGGATTTGGTTTTCCTAGGATCAATGAGTTGGGCTCTATTGATTTTTTTTAAAAAAATCTAAAGAAACTAGCAAGTTGTGATGAAATCAATGGTTCAATTGCTTTTCCAGTGGATAAAATCCAGAAAATCCAAAAAGATTTTGAATTTTTAAGATCTTTCCTGGAAAAAATCAAGGAGCAGTGCAATCAGAGCAAAAAAATCCAAGCTTTCTGGAGTCGTGTTATGGAGGCTGCATATAAAGCAGAGTTAGTGATCGACTGGACACTTGTTGGTGATGAACGTGAATGTTGTTTGGATGATGTTGCTACAGATATCAATCTTATGAAGACTGAAGCCCAAGAGATGTATGGTAGCATAAGCTATGATGGCGAAACCAAGAGAGTTACCGAGACTTTCACTTGCGTGTCATCACAAGTTATTGCGGCCACGAAAAATAAAGATTTTGTGTGTCTCGATGACGAGGTGAAAACTATCACTGATAGACTCACTGGAGGATCAAGGAAGTTGGGTGTTGTTCCCATCGTTGGTATGCCTGGGCTCGGTAAGACCACATTAGCCAATATGGTTTATAGTTCTCCTTCAGTAAAGTTGCACTTTCATATTCGTGCTTGGTGCACTGTTTCTCAAATATATAGCACACACAACTTGTTAGTTCAGATATTGCATAGTATTGATTCTAGGAGTCCCGAACAATATCCAGAGGAGAATGAAGGTGATCTGGCTATAAAGCTAAAACAAGCTTTGCTCAGAAATAGGTATCTCCTAGTGTTGGATGATTTGTGGGGCGTTGAGGCATGGAATTTGTTGGAAAAATCATTGCCAGATGATGCCAATGGAAGTAGGATTCTTATAACAAGCAGATTGCAGAATTTGTTTCTGCAATTCAAACTTGATAGCAAAGCTCACCATCTCCGCCCCCTTACCGACGAAGAGAGTTGGAAATTGCTGCAAAACAAGCTATTTGGCAAAGAAGGTTGTCCTGCAAAACTAAGTGGAGTTGGATTTCAATTAGCAAAATCCTGTAGGGGCTTACCTCTCACAGTTATCCTTGTTGCTGGAATTCTTGCTACTACTGATCAAAATTGCTGGCAAGAAGTTGCAAAAAGTCTAAGTTCCAGTATTGTCCTTGACGACGAATATTGCATGAAGACACTTGAGCTGAGTTATAGTCATTTACCAGGTGATTTGAAGCCATGCCTTCTTTACTTTAGTGCATTTCGAGCAGACAAAAATGTTCCAATTCGAAGGTTGTTATGGCTTTGGATCTCTGAAGGATTTGTGCAGAAGACTGAAGAAAAGAGCTTAGAGGATGTGGCAGATGAGTACTTGAAGGATCTGGTTGATAGAAGTCTAGTTATGGTTTCTGAACACAGAACTAGGGGTGGTGCCAAAGCCTGCCGACTTCATGATTTGGTACATGAGTTTTGTGTAGAAAAAGCCAAAGAAGAAAATTTTCTACATATTATTCATAGTCAGAATGATCTCACTATTCTTACTATCCCAAGCAACCCCCACCGAGTTTGTGATCAAAATGCCAGAAATTTGATGACTTGGGATTTAATGCTACTTTTTCCCAATTTACGCAGTTTGTTATTGTTTAAAGAGGATGCTTTCAGCCTTTGGTTACCTCAACTTCTCAGAGTGCTGGATTTAAGGAACTTGAAGTTTGATGCACATTTTCCGATGGTAGTAGTATTGCTTGTTCACTTGAGATACTTAGCTCTTTATATTAGAGGAATAAATAGCATCCCACCTGAAATATCCAACCTTTCAAGGTTACAAACTTTTCTGGTAAGAGGATACTCAAGATATTTTTTGTTACCGAAGACTATCTGGAACATTAAGACACTGAGGCATCTCTACTATACTACCAATGGCGGTTTTGCTTTTCCTGTTGAAAATCTTGAAGTATCCCCATGTTTAGATCATCTAGACACTTTAAACCTTGCCATTGATCCCTCCTCTCAAAGCTTGCAAAAGATACTGAGAAAGTTACCAAGCATCCGCAGGCTAAAATGTTCAATAACGGGTGGTGTCAGAATCGGAAATGGTGAAGGGATTCTAGAGTTTGACTGTTTGAGTCAGCTAGAATCACTTAATCTGTCTTATTTTAAAGGATATGGATTTAAATTCCCAAGGAATTTGAAGAAATTGACTCTCTCAGATAATGAGCAGCCATGGAGTGAAATTTCAACGATTGGAAAGTTGCCAAATCTTCAAGTGCTCAAATTAGACCATCAAGCCTTTGCTGGGGAAGAATGGGAAATGGAAGAAGGGGAGTTCCCTAGCCTCCGGGTCTTGATGTTGGCACGCTTAGACTTTCGCAGATGGATTGCTGCTTCTGATAATTTTCCCCGTCTTGAGCAATTGCTATTGTATAATTGTCGAAAGCTGGAAGAGGTGCCTTCTTGTTTAGGGGAATGTCCGACTCTTGAAGCGATCGAGGTGGGACGGTGTGGTGAGTCTGTTGTCAGTTCAGTGGAGAAAATTCAACAAGAACAGATGGACATGGGAAATGAAGATCTAAAGATCGCTATTGAAAAATGTGGTGATGCATGGATTGGCTAAGAAGAGCCAATCCCCTCAGAAACAGAGTCAATTCCCTCACAAGGAGTCTGATTTCAAGGTTTTTTCAAAGCAATTTCTGGAGCTTCCCAATTTTTTTTTTCATGCAGCTAGCTAGAACTTTGTAACTGCAGTGGCAAGCACTGTCACGCATTATTCAGTCCAACATTATCTATCAGAGTCTATGTCTAAACTTTTCTCCATGTTCTTTTCTGGTTCGATGATGTTTAATGGATTTTATCATTTTATAATCTCAACTCGCAAAATCTTCTTTAATGCTGGCTGCTACAGATTGATATGATGCTTAAAACTAGCTGAGCATGCCCATGCATACATGCAAGATACACTTTTCTCTCCTTTCTTTGTATTTCAGTCAGAGTAGTGCAGAAACTTGTGACTTGCTTCTGTTTTTCCTCAACAAAGAACCATACACTCAATTAATTAACATGTTAAAACATAAAATAGTTTCTGTTTTTGCAACAAATATTAAGAAGAGACAAGGAAAAAGAAAAAAACAACTTGGTTATGTTACTTTTCGATAGAGAAAGGGCGAAGCAAAAGAATAGTACAAGAAGAGACAAGGAAAAAGAAAAAAACAACTTGGTTATGTTACTTTTCGATAGAGAAAGGGCGAAGCAAAAGAATAGTACAATTCGCCTCAAATGGTTGTCTGATACAATTTGCGTATTGTTGTTAGACGCAGGCCATTTTCATTGGCATTTGGCCTAGAAATAGCTTTGGATATCAAGCCGAAAGGAAAAGAAAATCCAAAAACTTGTGCAAGAGTTACCTTTACATGTGTCTTTCTTCTTTACACTAATTTCATGCACAAACTTCCTGTAAGTAATTACCAGTGCTTTTGGTAGTCTAAAGAATGTAAATATTCTAAAACTTTTTGTTTGCTGTTTCATCTTTTAGTTTGTAGGAAAAGGAAAAACAGAGACTCATAAAACGTTGCTTGCAATGTTATATCTAGGAAGTAAAGTTTCTTTCTTTTCTTTTTTTTTTTGAATTATTAACACAGTGATCAAAGGCCAAAGGAACCAATAGCGACTGAAGAGAGTTGTGGAAGAAGGGCCTTGAATTCGTCCAGTTAATTTAAACGGTTCCAGAAAATTTACCTGTGCTTGTGCACTGCTTTACAAACTATTTGACAATATATGACATGACTTTCTTTCATAAAAATAAATTGTGGTAGTAAATTTGGTGTAACTAATAGTGAGTTTTTCCATAAAACAAGTAAGTTTCATAATTTATGTAACTTACTATTTAAATAACAAATATTTTTAGCAAAAAATTAGCATTTTTAAATATAAAACTTACTATTTTTCAAGCAAAATAATGATTTGATTAACAAATCTTATCACTTTTTTGAGTAAAATTTACAACATCATTAACAAATCTTACTAATTTTCTAGTAAGACTTACCATTTTTTATACAAAACTTACTACTTTTTCAAGCGAAACTTTTGACTTGATTAACAAAGGATTAATCACATTTATCGTCCTTGAGCTTTGGTCAAATTACAAATCAAATCCTGAGATTTGGTCAAGTAACAATCTAACCCCTGAATGAGCAAACGTTAAGCATAACGCCCCCTAACGTCGTCAACCGTTACTAACATTAATGTAAAAAGCTTGTGTGACTGCCCCAAAATGTCCTTAAGGAGCTCCTGTACTATTACAAACACATTTTTGCTTATTACCTTCTAAGCCAAAAAGAATATATTTTGCTTATTAGACTCCAATAGAAAAAAATACATATTGGCTTCCATAAATAGCCTTTCTCATAAAAATTGATATAAAAATTAGAGTAAATCTTTTATACATTATCAGTGTATACATAAACAGGATTAGAAACATGTCATATATATGTGCAAATTTTGGAATTTAAATTCAAATTGAAATGATATGACGTATGCATTTGTTGATTGATATGATAACCAATTCTTCCGGTAAATCTTTTTATTTTATGCAGTACTGTCGATTAATCGGATGACAATTCTTCCATTACAAAAAGTTAGTTAGACAACATAATGTGGTTGATTTTGGAAGTTTTCAATTATGAATCTATTATGGATTTGGCCGACATGACTTTGCTTTATGTAGGGTATAGTTTCTTTACTTTTGATCTGATATTGTTCTCTTATCTCAAATCCAACTTGGTGTTAATTTGGGACTTGACCAATAAATTAAGCAATTCCATTTCTTGGTTAAAAGGAAGTAAATATAAATCATAAGATTGTTGCATAAGCACTTAAGAGTTAGATACCCTGATATCTAGTTTTACAAGTTGTGAATTTATGGGAACTTTAATATGTTAGCTTTGATCCCACTAGCAAGAATTACTGGTAATCTTGTGAAGAAATAGCACTACTGTTTTTTGTTTCTTGCAATAGAAAATTGTGCGGTTCACCAACGGACAAGAAGCTAGACTGGTCCCTCAAATCTTAGATTGCTGTTGCACCATGACCAAGAATATGGAAAATAACCACTTGGGATCCTCAGTGACATGTTTTTTATACCAATCCAATGTCACCTATAGTATTGTGCCAAGTGTCCTGTTATTATTTACACTTTAATTTTCAAATAATTCAACTTGGTTTGGTTTAACACAAGTGTAAATAATAATAGGACACTTGGCGCAATACTATAGGTGACATTGGATTGGCATAGAAAACATGTCACCGAGGATCTCAAGTGGGAAAATAACTTAATTGAACCTAGTTATGAACAATGTGTGATTATTTATTTTTTAAAGTAAGTTTTAGTTGAACAATTCTTTTTAATAACAAAAACCTCCTTTATTGTCTTGGAGGTCAAACTTGATGGTTATATTTTTAAATTTATTTTTGGTAGGGAGAGGTGTGGAATTTTTAAGAGGCGGGAGGGGAGATTTAAAATTTTAAACCCAAAATCTTTAAATCCTGAGATTTCGACCCATTAAACTAGAGCATAAACATGTAAGAGTGATGAGAAAAATTAAAACGAAATTTTTACTTTTTAGGAAAAGAACTCTTGATGCTAGAGTTGGACTTTTAAACATTAATGTAGATACTAGTTTGAAACACCCTTCATTGCAGGGGGATCAATTTGGTTCCATTTTAAGTCTTCTTGTATTATAAAATTTGTGAGTAAATAGTTATAAATATGATTAAACTAACAGATAAGAGTAAGAGAAATAGAGCAAACAACCAAAAAATTCACCCAGTATAACACTATAATTGTTTAAGTACACTAATTTTATTTATAAGTGGATGCTTTATTTCTTCAATTGTCATATTTTCAGCTCGAACGTTCAGTGTTGGGCTAGTATTTTATTATTAGTCACGGTGACTTTTCTTTGTTATGTATGTCATTTTTCTACGCGGTCTAAAATGGTCAGCTGTATGGGAATGCACTTTGGCAGCTGACTCGTTTAGGCCCCTCACGTCTCCATGAACACAACAAGGCAAGATTAGAAATTAGCCTGGCAAGTTGCAACTTGCAACAAGAAAAGAAGAAGAAAAGAGTCTCGCCGACAATAGCTGACTAAGTTCAAGACACAAATCTGATCTCAGAGTGGATAGAAACTGCAATAATAATGGAGATATCCTGCAGTAGTAGCACTGATTGCTTTGATTTCGCTCTAGATTATCTGGACTGGTTGAACAAGACCTTCAAATATGAGTTGCACTTTTATATCGAGGGTCTGGAGATCGAGGTCAGCTTATTACAAAGCTTTGATCTGTATCTGACAAAGTGTAAGAGGAAGAGGAGGAGGAACCATGAAATCTGTCTGGAACAAGATGCGGAGGAGAAGGATGTTACTTCTTTCAGAATTCAAAGTCTGATTATCACAGGAATGCAAGACCTTGATTTTGCTTGCTGGGAATACTTGATGCGTTCTCGTTTGTCTGGTTTGACTCAGATCAAAAGTGAGCTCACCATATTCCAGGAAGCAATCGAGCTGTTTTTCGAGACAGATATCAAGGAATCATGCATCAACTTTCTGTTGGACTATTACTGGCTGAGGGATCCGGAACTGGTTATTGATTTCATTGATTCGGTTTCAAAGAATCTGTCAAAGCTTCGCGAAAGGGACGTATTCGAAACTCTTAAAGAGAAGCTAATGTTCTTGAAACATTTCATTCACTTTGCCATGCTTCACGGTGTCGAGGGTCAGCAATTGATGGATCTCTTAATTCACGCTGAAGTGGTGGCTATCGATGCATTACGCCTGATTTCTATATGGTGGTTTGACGGAAAAGGTGAAGTACGCAATGGCATGGAACTTCAAATTTCTCAACTAATAGGTGAGAAGATTAATCCCACTGATCCACAAGTTCGAGAAACTTATATCCATGTCTTGACTGCTTCAAAGTTATCAAGGTCATCAGACACTTCAGCTCTGGAGAAGAATAAGCATCTAGTAGTTGACTTTGTGGATTGTCTTGTTCACAATATTATGGAGCTACTAGAATCTTGTACCAGTATTCTGGTTCCAATTATATTTCACATGCAAAAACTCCTTGACGGGCTAAGATTCCTGTCAATCCTTCTCAGGCATCCGGAGAAGTTCAAAGAGCTACGCCATGGAATGAAGAGTCTTATTGGAGTTGTGGTCTGTGATGCAGCAATAGTAATTTTCTCCCTTTCTGTGAATCAATTGATCAAAGAAGGCTTGGCCAAGGAAACTGATTTTGCTCTTTTTCATTTGCTCAAAGTGCTCAAGTTTGTTAGGGCAGAAGTTGCACAGGTTTATCCAGTAACATCAGTATCGCCATTTGGTTTTCCTAGGACCAATGAGTTGGGCTCTATGGATTTTCTCCTTGAAAATCTGATTGAACTGGAAAGTTGTAATGGGGCTGAGGATTCAATTGCATTCCCAAATGATCAAATCCACACAGTCCTAGATCATCTTGTATTCTTAAGATCTTTTCTTGGCAAGATGGTAGACCAGCACAACCGGAATGGAAAACTCCAAGCTCTTTGGAGTCGTGTTATAGCGGTTGCTTACAGGA